TAAATAAGACAAAGACTAAAAAAAAAAATTTTTAATGGACAATTATTATTTTTGGACGGTGGGCCGATCATACGGTTATTTCCCGGGCCGAAATTTTTAGCCAATCCGCCGCTGCACAGAGCCCAATATAGGGCATGATATATTATCAATAGAAATAAAGTATTTGTAACGTGTTCAATACGAGTACCTATACTAGTTATATATAATATGTTTTATAATATGACAATTTATTGGATATTAAATATTAATTTTAATGTAAGACACTAATTATTTCATAAGCTTTGAACGTTTTTTACACCATTTTAAGTCATTAAAAACAACAATTTCTTATAAATTAAAATATTTATAAGTGTTAGGAACCAGGTACTAGGTAATAAATTACTTGTCCAAAATTGGATTTTTATAGATCAAATACTCATAATAATTCAAATAATATTAATAATAGATATTTTTTTTGTTTTTCACGGTGCTTTTGAAAACTACTGGGAAATTTTTACTTTTGACCCCTCAAAGTACCAATCAGATTGATTCAATTTCCTGTCAGAAAAGATACTGTTGAAGAAAATACTTTTTTACTATCGTAAATGTAGTTAAACGAGATTACCCCATCCAAATTAATTTAATAACTTAGATGTGAATATGAATATATGTATATACGTAATATGTGTGTGTGTTAATGTGTTATGTACTTATGTATGACTACCCTGCCAGAAATTCTGCGAAATCCTTATAAAATATATCCAAACGTTCGTAATTATCCATCTAATGGAATTTTGGTACTTTGGGGAGTCAAAAGTATAATTTTTTTAGTAGTTTTCAAAAGTGCCGTGAAAAACAAAAGAAAAATTAAAATAGAACGGGAATTTTTACACACAATCTTTTTCGAAAAAAATAATTTTGGTTTTAGTGCAACCCTTAAATAAATGACCGTAGATACATAAAATTTTGACTGAATGTTTATATTAGCATTTTCTGTACACGATAAAATTTTCAAAATATTATGATTTGATTTGAACCGTTAAGGAACATTTTCATTTTCCATATTTTTTTAGTTTTTTTTCTAAAAATATCAATGAAATTGTATTTGTTGGTTAAAAAAGCTTCAAAATTAAATAGAGGACTATTAGTATATTGTTTCAAAGGCAAATGAAAAATATTAAAAATCCTTAGTCACAATTTTTTTTTATAAGCATTTAAAATTCAAAAATTGACAAAATATGGAAAAATCACGAAAATTAGCAAATTATTTTGAGTTAAGAATTCGTAAAAATTTTTCTTTTTAAATCTAAGATTTTAAAATGTAATACAAGATTCCTTATAAGATTATCTACCTTTATCAAAAAAAAAAAATGTCTATAAGAAAGTCAAATTAAATTTTTATGAACGTTCGAAATTCGTAATATTTAAATATAAACGAACAATTTTCAAATTATTATTATTATTATTATTTTTTGTTGACATAATATTATTTTCGTTTCCACGATTTGGGTATTTATAAACAACGCGCGGCTGCGATAGATAACCGATTTCAACCTATGGTGAAGTACCGCTGTTAATACGCGCGGTGCGGGGAATTAGTCCGGTTTTATAATTCTGACGCTGTAATCGTAGTAGCAGCACACGACGGTCGACGGCCGTAATTAAAATCTAACTTGGCGCAAAAAATTAGTTTTCTAGTTCCAAAAACACAGCTTACTGACTGATTTTAGAGAAAAAAAACCTTGGATAAAAGTTGTAGAGGACAATTTTTTCTAGGGCAACATAAGACTCGATTTTTGATTTTTTTTTTTCAAAGCTGAATATTTCAATCTAAGTATATCTCTGTTTTTACTTTTTCTATGAGTCAATTAATTAACATATTAATATCAATATCAATATTTGAGACCTATACTGCCCTAAAAAAATTCTTCTCTACAAGTTTTAATTAAAGTTTTTGTCTCTTAAACCACTCAGTAAGCCGTATTCTTAGAACTCATAAAACCGTTTTTGTGCTGTAATTGTTGCCGGTGTGGCCTCCTCTTAATGGATTTTTTTAAATCAACTGAGAAAAGCTAAATTATTTCAATAATTGTAAATTAAACTATTTAAGTTCATAAGTTGATTAGAAAATAAACTAACTAGTTAAGTTAAAAAGTTAAAAAAAAATTAACTTTTTAACTGAACTTTAACTTTTCAACTAGTTAATGCCCACCTTTGATTGTAGGTATGTTTATTATTATATTTATTACTATTTACTATAATATACTATAATATAGACATATAGTAGTTACAATATAGTTGCTCGATGTAGCGTATAAAATATTCTCGAATTGTGTTTTAGACAGAATAAAAGAAAAAGCGGATCAAATAGTAGGACACTATCAAAGATGGTTTAGAGCTGACAGATCCACGACGGAGCAGATGTTCATAATTAGATAATTATATCAAAAATCTTGGGAGTTTGTTAAAGAGATTCATACACTTTTCGTGGACTTCAAGAAAGTGTATGATAGTATTCATAGAGAGAGTCTACTGAATATTATGAAAGAATTTCATTTTCCACAAAAGCTGGAAAAATCACGAAAATTAGCAAATTATTTTGAGTTAAGTATTCGTAAAAATTTTTGTTTTTAAATCTATGGTTTGAAAATGTAATACAAGATTCCTTATAAGATTATTTACCTTTATCAAAAAAAAAAATGTCTATAAGAAAGTCAAATTAAATTTTTAAAAGCGTTTGAAATTCAATTTTTTACAACATAGGATATTCACTCGATTTCTAATGTAGCGATTTCCTTAATTTGTTGTTATTAAAAAACGAATGACTGTAGATACATGAAAATTTCACTGGTTTGTATTAGCATTTCCTATACACCATACCATTTTGAAAATATTTTGACTCTTTTTGAGCTGTTTAAGGACATTTTGAGTTTTCAATTATTTGAGTTTTTTTTCCATAAATATCAATAAAGTTTTATCGGTTGGGCCAAAAAGTGTAAAAATTTAATACAAAGCTCCTGATATATTGTTACAATAGCAGTTGAATAATATTAAAAATACATAATCACAGTTTTTTTTATAAGCATTTAAAGATCAAATTTAAAATTGAATAATTATTTTTTAGTTAAAAATTTATAAACTGTTCAACTTTTATATCTAAGGATTGAAAATTTAAAACAAGATTCCACGTAAGAAGTTAATTCTGAAATCCTTTGTCCATTTTCCAATCTTTATTTTTAAATTGTATTAATATGCATACCATGCTTCAATAGTAACTAATATTTTTTAATTCATTTGGTTATTATTTTTATTAGTTATCATTTATTAGATTATACATGAAGTAATAATTAAAATTGAAGGGTTAGGTATAAGTTTATTTATTTACCTAACCTTTCTAGTTTCTATTTATTATATTGGTAATAGATTATTTCCATAATTTAATTGGTATTCAAATTGTATGTACTTGTGTACCTACCTACTAAGTTATAGATTTTTTTGTACACACCAATCAACATTTTATATTTCAAAATAATTTGAGTTTTATAATTGACAGGGTAAGGTCATCATATCAAACATGATCACTTTATTATTGAAAATAGGAATCAATATTAAATTAGGAATACCATTATTGTCTATAACCAATTGGTAATTCCCAGAGCCCTACTTGGGAATTTTGGGGCCGGGGCTAATATTTTGCTACAGAATTTTTGCTATATAGCTTTTTTATATTCAATTTTTTTTTGTCTTATTCTATGTTAGAACCATTTCAAAAGACATTTTAAAGTACCTATCAGGAATAAAATGATAACATTTATATTTTTCTATCATTATTGTTAACGAGATATCTTTTTTTTTTTTTTTTGCTGCAATGATACCATGTAGCTATGGTGCAAAGTATTCTCAAAATACGGTATTTCTAAACACATATTTTTTAGCCTTTGATAATATTTATATTTTTTTATTAAAACTGTACCAATTTGGATATTTAACAATTTAATAATTGCTTTTGAATTTGATTCAAGTAGTTCAGTTTATCAAAAATATACATCAATAATTTATTTTATTTATGAAAATATTAGACAATAGGCAAAAAATAATTTCATATTAATTCATAAAATAATATTATTAAATAGTAAACATAATAAAAAATGGGGGGGGAGAATGTCAGCATCAAAAATATATCGGGGGGAATGTCCTACTACACCGAAACAGTCAGTGGAGAAATGTCCGCGATTCGCGGGTGTGACATCCTCTTAAGTGTTAAATCAAATAAGTCTCTTAATAATGTATATTTTTAAATCTGGGTTCATTTTATTATAAAAAGGTATGTAAAATTTAAATAAATGATAATTTATTTAAATTGAAAAGTAAGTTCCTATTTACAAAAGAGGGGGTCCCTAGACCAATTTAATTTTTAGCTAAAGGTCCGTAGCTTCCTAATTTGGAACCACTGGCTTAAGGTCTTTAGGAGTCTTGGGCGTGGGTGAAATGGGCAAGTGTGAATCTAGTGACAGTGCGTTAACTATAGCTATATTCATCGTAATCATCGTATAAACTATCAACTAGATGGACGAATATAGGTAGCACAAGATTCGCACTAGCCTCATTTCCCTTCCGCACTAACTATCCTTAGATCATATACAGATATACTATGGATAGATTAAAAATGCGTAGTACGTCGTACGTGTTGAAGACATTGTGAAGACTATTTAGTCGCAACTCGCAAGGGGACCGATTTCTATTACGCATGCGTATCAATACTCGCATATTCATCACTAAACTAGCGGCATCTATAGATACCAACTAGTTCGTGGTAGATACTATCTTAAATCGTGATTTAAAATTTTAAAATTTGATAATGGTTTAAAATAATTTAAAACATGACAATTTCTAATGATTTGAATTTTGAAACTATTGATAGTTAAAATTTGTTGTGGAACACTCGAAGTATTAAATTATCTTAACACAGAAAAAATAGTTTTTGAAGTTTTTTTAATATCTTCATCAGAATTTTATTAAGGATGGTACGATATAAAAACCGGTAACTATTAAAACAATTATCAAAAGTACCTATTTACTTAATAAACTTTTGAATTGTCAAAATAAAAAAGTTAAAGCTTTACATCCACTAATTTTAAAGTTTCATTACAAAAAAATGTTTTCTGAAATATTTTAGTTCATTAATTGCAAAGCAATAATCTTCAACTAGAAGGCAGTCACAAGAAGCAAATATAATTATCATAATAATAAATAAATTAAAAATTGGACTGGGTTTAATGTATTTGAATTTCATTAGGTTGAATACCATTGTGCTATAGGGTAGAAAATAAAGTTAGTACTTAGTAACTTGAATTTGATCATATTATCTGATATTAACATAAAATCCTAGATCAAAATTTCAAATAATTGTTCTGTAGCCTATGGGATTTGTCTATTACTCTATTCAATATTCATTGATCAAAATAACATGATTACCCTATAATTGTTTTGTTGATAAACTTTCCACTTGTTCGATATAAAATTATGTACATTAAAAAGTAGAAGGAAATCATTTATTATAGATGGATTGCAGTGGCGACTCGTGAGGTTCACCCAAGGTGGTGCACAAGAAATATATTAGATACCTATGTAAGATGATAAAAATATTAATTTTGTTATAAGTGCATACCGAAATAATGTATTATAATAATTCAGTTAATGGATAATATACAGTGTTATCATTTCGACGAACAATGCAACATTGCGACACAATCAAAATAGGTTTGGTGCACACATTAAATGCGCTTCAAACTACCATATATTACTAACCGACGTGTCGAGGCATGTAGCTAATATTTACACGGCTGAATTATTTAATCGTTCATAGACACACTTCTCAACATGAAAAACTACAATAAGTTTTTTTTACTACAGACCATGTACATAATAATCAATAGTTATTGTTACTATATGAAATTTTTTGTTTTTTTGGGTGGTTCACGTGCTCCTGTGCACCATGACACGAGCCGTCACTGATGGACTGACTCATCTAGTAGCTACACATAATATTTAATTATAATATAATATTCATTTTCCTTATGTTGTAGGTAGGTACCTATTTTTTTTCATAAAACTTGTAAGTATTTAATTTTCAGTTACCTCGTTGTTCAACTAAGAACTTTGGAGGATGACAATTTAGATTTTAAAATTTCTGATAGAGAATTACAAATAACAGTATTAAACATGATTAAATCATTACATGGAGATTTTGGAGCTGGAGCTATTAAAACATGTTTTAAAGGTAAAATATTGTTTTATTTCCTATGCAATTAATAGTTAACATTAGAATAAACTAAAGTAAATATTGAATAATATTATTTTTGTAATTTACTAAGCATCAATTTAAATAAGAGAAGAAATAAATTTAAGAGCTGTGGCATAACTTAAAATACTGTGCATGGACTAAAACTTTAGGAAACCCACATATTCTCCTCTGAGTAATAACTTATATTGATTCAGCTTTAGAATGCATAATTAGGTCTGGATTGAACCAGCCAGTTTCCGAGTCTAACTCGGGGGGGGGGGGGCTGAACAATATTTTACTATAATAAATATTAAACTTAACTGTTTTAACCTATTTTGGGCTAGCACTGGTTCTAAAACATGGTGTGCCAGTACTTACCTTATCAGCTATTTGGCACTGTACATAAACCATTGTTTTAACTTTCAAATGTAAAATGTGTTTATTAAAAATTATTAAGACTATAAGGTGTGATCGGATTGCCTCAATTCATTGATAATAATAAACATCTGTAGAAAAATCTATCAAATTTGTATTTGTATACAACCATTCTCAAAACTAATATCTCCATTAACTTTTTGAATATCATGTAAGCTACTGCTTTCTCTTCATTATTAAGTTAAATTTATTTGATAACGCAATTACTAAATACTTTCCGTGCCAGTTAATGTACATTTTCTTAGAATTTGTATCAGTATTTACTTTTTTAGAATAAATTATACATGTGATATAATTAGTGAATATGTGAATAGTTGATCATTAATCGATAATTTATGTTTAAAGTTAACTATTTATTTTAATTTTTAATTTATTTCAGTTCGCTATTGTAATCCAACAACAAGAATTATCATTTTTAAAACCAGACATGGCCCTCATCAATTTCTCTCTTCTGTTATACCATTTATTAATAAACTTCAAGAGAAACAAATTCAATTATCAACACTTTATACTGGCGCTTCCATGTTTCAATGTTATAAATTTATTCAGGTAATTTAACTATACTATATTCTAATATAATTTAATACAAACATATTTTATCAATTTAATAATAATTTTAATTAATTGATTGAATGATTTAATTACACCAGAATTAGTTAGCTGTCTTTCAAAATGTGGAAAAACGTACCAAAAAGTATGATTTTAACACATGAAACATCACATTTACAAGTTAATAAAAGCAATATATTAATTGAAGGCATCTTAAAGCTTTTTTTTTAAGGTGACGCTACCCATACATTTTTTGTTTCCGTCTTACACACGCACGACATAGCAAATTGTCATTCACTGTTTTCAATAGTATGCTGTTAGTTTTGATACTAGAGTGAATTGACCTATTATAAAACTTTTAGGTAAGAAAATTATCTGTGCTTAAGTGTTGCCCATTTTCAAAATTTTTGTTTACAAGCAATATATATGCGTATGTCAAAAATTAAAAATGCTCCTATCTCGCTTAAAAATTAAAATATCGAATAAAAGCCAACTCTTAAGTACAGATAATGTTATTATCTAAAAAATTGATGTTAGATAAAGTCACTCTAGTATCAAAACTAACAGCACACTATTGAAACTAGTGAATGAAAATTTCCTATGTCGTACGTGTGTAAGACAGAGACAACAGATGCATGAGTAGCATCCTATTTTTGCGTTCTGGACAGAGTATTACTATATTCCCTATAACATTTATATTTTAAATAAATTAACTACTATATTTGACATGGATTTTTTAAGAATCTATTAATTCAATTTCTAAGTTATTGCTATTAGTAATTAGTAATAAGTAAATTAAATTAATTTAAATTAATACATTTTAAATTTGTTTCAGAACTATCAAAAAGATCTTGTAAGAAAAATAACTGATACAATAAGTGAGAAAACCAAAGAAAAAATGTTAAATATTACTAATGTATTAAATTTCTAATTTCTTAAAAGATAGGTTTTTTGAATTTTTATAAAAAAAACATGAACTGGTAGAAAGGCCAATTTGTAAATAATAAATATATTTCAAATACATTTGGACAAAGTATAAAATATGAAATCAATATATTCTGTAGCTTGGTGTAAGAAAGGTAATTATTTGGTCAATATTTAATTTTTTTATTAGTATTAAAATTACTATTGTCTCTGATGCAGTATGACTAAACTAGATTTTACATTGGCCATTTCAAAATCATTTCATGTTTACAAATATAGTTTTAAGTGACTACCATTATGATTTATGTGCAATTGAAAATTATTATTAGGTATTAATAAAAAAGTTAATTAATTATTTATTTTAAATTTTAGTTTTTGACCAATATCAAACAAAAGTAATTTAAATTTTTTTTCTGGGTGGCCAATGTTAAAATAGAACTTATATATCTGTAGTTAAATATAGAATGAGTCATACAATGAAATAAAAATTAATTAAGTAATAGCACTTTTAAGTTCCTACTTAAAAATTGGCCTTTCTTGCACCAAACTAAAGATATATACAAACGATTAAACTATTCAGAAAAGATTTTTTTAGTGGTTGTATAGCTCATTAAAAAATGTTATCTATCATAAGCTAATAATTAGTCCACGGTCAATTTATGTTTAAATATTAGCACGAACTTGAGTCTGCGAAAAAGTTAATTGGAACAGTTAATATAAACCATATTATGATAGATATTGTAACTTGTAAGACTGATTATTATAATAAGGGATTAATATAAGTACTTCAATAAGAACAATTTGTAAAAAAACAAATTTGTATATCTCAATCTTAAAAATGTCCGATAACATTAAAGATTGACCCACTTGATAATACAATAAATAGGTAACAATTATATTATAAAAAAAAAATAGTAAGTTCCAAAATTAAGTCTTACAATATAGTTATTATCTTTAATGACAATATGTTGAAAATGCCAAATACCTAGTTAGTGGCGTGGTGAACATTATGAACCTGATGCCCAGCATATATTTCAGTACCTACCCCCTCTTTATGCCCTAATATAATATATTCTACATATAATTATTATGTGACTGTAAATATTTTAATTTTTGTTGTATGTTATTGGTTACCATGATGTACCAAACCACCCCGCCCCCCAAAAAATCCACCATGACACCTAGGTATCATAAAACCCCATTCACCACGCCACTGCCTACAGTCGTCGAAGTGGCTCAAAATAAGTGGAGGCATTCCTTTCATATATTTTATACAGTTCTTATAATATTATATGGCTTAAACAGTCGTACACCATGTGAGGGAGGGGTGAGGTTAACTTCTTATACATTTTTTATAATACACTTTTATACTAGATATATATTTTTGATTTTAGATTCTGAGTGGAACGATGAATGTATTGATTTTACAATGATGTGTGTTTTTTTTTTAATTTTTAATTTTTTTTTTATTTTTGTGTCTGTCATCACGTTTTAGGACGGTAAAAGTGCTTGGATTTTCTTCAACAGTATCTTTTCTGATAGGAAAGTGAATCTAGTTGGTACTTTGGGGGGTCAAAAGTAAAAATTTCCCAGTAGTTTTCACAAGCGCCTGGAAAAACAAAAGAAAAATTAAGGAAAAACGGGAATTTTTACGCAAAATCTGTTTTCGAGGAAATCGATTTTGGTTTTTGGTGTAACTCTAAAACAAATGAACGTATATACATGAAATTTTCACTGGTTGTTTATATTTGCATTTTCTATACACGATAATATTTTCAAAATATTTTTAGGGACATTTTCATTTTTTTTCTAAAAATATCAATAAAATTGTATTTGTTGGTTGCGAAAGCTTGAAAATTTAATAGAAGGCTCTTAGTATATTGTTTAAAACGCAGATGAAAAATATTAAAAATGCTTAGTCACAATTTTTTTTTATAAGCATTTAAAGTTCAAAAATTGACAAAATATGGAAAAATCACGAAAATTAGGAAATTATTTTGAGTTAAGAATTCGTAAAAACTTTCTTTTTAAATCTAAGGTTTGAAAATGTGATACAAGACTCCTTATAAGATAATCTACCTTTATCAAGAAATAAATGTCTATAAGAAAGTCAAATTAAATTTTTAGTGTTTTATTTTAAGTGTTGTCATCAAAAAAATAATTGATATAATTTTATTAAATTGATATTTTTTTTATGGTAAGTTGTTATTAATTCAATATTAAAGGTAAAACTACATACATTAGTGCCAGTTATACCGTCTATGATTAGAGTTAATCAGAGTTTAATCGGCCTAATTTGCCCATTTAAATATCTGTTATCAGCTGATTAAGCTTAATCATAGTTTAATCGTAGACCGTACAACTGGCCCTTAGAGCATTTTTAGAAACATTGGTGAATACATAATATTCAAGTTTTATTATTTAGTGCATTACCTTACTACCCCTGGACATTAAAATATTTTTTTCTAGGTAATTGAAAATGAGTGAAGTATAATTTTAAGTTTCAAACAGTGTTTTTAAGTATTTTTATTAGTTAATCTGCAACAGTGACATAAACATTAAGTACACACAAATAAAAGTTGGTACAAGTTAAATATTAATTATAACTACACTTAAAAGTAAAAATAAAATATTTTGTACTACATTGTATACTATACACTTACGAAGACTTGTATACTTATTATTAAATACACATTAAAAATCAAAAGTAAATTTAGTTGTTTTTCATTTAAAATATAATTCTTTTCTCAATAATTAATTTCCATAAAATGATATATTATAATACACACAAAATTATTATACTGATTGTATAGATAATTATTACAGCTCTATTTTTTAGAAAAAATATAAATTTGTTCAAATTAAAGTTTATGTAATTGGGTATATTATTTTAAAATTATAATGAAAATAAAGGTAAAATATACATTTAATATAACATGAAAAAGTTTTGACTTGATCTTGATAACTTTTACAGAATTATATTTGCACAGAGAAGTTATCTACTACGTAAAACCTAAAATACAATTTATGAGATAAATAAAAACTAAAATATAATAGACATAATAAATCAATAAAATATGATATATTATATTATCAATAACATTATAATTACATAATAATACATGTGAAAAAAAAACTAAAATTAAAATCCAGGAAGATGACAGATTGATATATAAAAAAGGTTAATATTTATATAGGAACTTAAAATTATAACTTTGAAAAAAAAAATCACACATCAAACATTAAACATACTACATAAGTTTATATTATTGTAGAGATCAATTAAAGGGCCAATTTAAATAATTTTATCAGCAGTTTGTGTATTAAAAAATATAATATTTGGTGATGTCTGACAATGATTTTTATTTTTATTTCTAGGTAATAAATTAAATATTCTATTAGGTTGTTAACATTTATAATTATTAAAGATACATTTTAAATAATATAATAATAATAAGTATATTTAAAAATCAACATTAAATATAACAATTATAATGTTGAGATAATTAGAACATATCTAGTACTTAAAAGATAATACTAAGTTCATTAAAATATATTGAGAAAAAAAGATTTATGGGTACTAGAATACACAAGTATATTCAGAGTAATGTAAAATTTTTTTTTTTATTAGATTTCAAATACTTAACTGTCTTTAATATTTAGGTAAACAATCAATAACTAAACTAAGAAGACTTAAATATATAACATATCTATGAGATGCAAAAATATAGCTTTTTAACATATTTTTATATTTGTTTCTTTATTTTCATATTTTGGTTATATTTGTCAATAACTGCTTAAATTGTTTTCAGCCATAAAAAAAAAAAATTAAATATATTCAATCATCATAAGCTTGTTCAGCTTTAGCTTTAACCTTTCGCAGTAAAGGTGGAAATTCATCAAGGGTGTACCTATATTTGAACACGTGCATTTGTGCAGGACAATCACAAAGTTGTCTAAAATGCCGAAGACATGCTAGTCTTTTTGGATCACATGAACAAGATACAGCAGATATATATAGAGTGGTATTACAAAGCATACATTGTCTAAGGTCATCTACCTGGTGTTCAAATTCAACAAAATCCGCTTCAGTGACACCCCAATCTAAAAGTGCTTTACGTTGAACTCTTTCAAATTTCACCATTTCATTCAAATCATCATATACGAGTTCAGCTGCTTTTGGTGCCAAGTCATCACAAGAGTTAACCATTTTACATATAAGTTCATCATGGGAAAAAACACATATTCGTTTGAGAGAGGAATAATGGTTAACACATTCACGACCTATTGAAATCCAATCAGCAGGAGCAAAATTAACAGCTTCCGCAAAATTATATCCTTGATTAAATCCAGTATGGTAAGATCTAGGAAAAGTAACAACAAATTCTCCAGCATTCTGATCAGTTCGATAAATTGGGACATTTGCTTTCATCAATATATTTGGATTCAGAATAGTAACCAACTGATGTAAGAGATCTGGCTGAGAATGAAATAATTCTGGTGTTGTCTCCTTCATAACTTCTTCAAACGCTTCAGCATAAGCTCCTGGAACTCCATACCATGTTTTTGGTTCTCCCCAATGTAAATAGTTGATCGAGTAGCTCCAATGATCTTCATTATGCCAGCAAAATGTGGAAAAACACATTCCAACATACATCCATGGAATTTTCATACCAGATATATCAGCATTAATAAAACTAAGAACAGAGTCTTTAAGTATTGGTATATTATTTAAATTCCAACGATCTTCTATGTATGACTTGTAAAAAGTATTATCTTCATTTCCACAAAGCGCAAGACCTGTAGGGAATCCTGATCCATGATCCATAGTGTGTAAATCAGCACCATATTCTGCAATTACTGTGGAATCAATAGATGAAACAATTTTCCAATACTCCTGTTCAACTTTGCTTGTAGGCACAAGATGAACTGGCATGTTGAAATATTTAGATTTAAATTGATCTGCCATTTCTCCAAATTGTTGAAGTGTGTACTCACGCTGAGCTTGTTCAAATCCAAAAGCATCACTAGGCTTGATAACTTCATTGATCACACATTTATGACATCTCCATTCACCCTTGGGAACACTATTTAATGGTATAATTAAACATTGCATGTGGAAACTTAAATCACAGCCATCACAAATTAAAATAGTTTCTTCAGATTTACCACTTCCACATTTTTGGCAATAATATTTATCCAAATAATCTACGGCAGGTTTACTTCTCTTTTTAGACTTTTTAGAATCTTTTGACTTTAAATGTCCTATTCTACACTTGGAACTAAACCCAGCCATCTTAGGACCGGCCCCGAAAAATTGTAATTTTCTTAATTCTTTATTTTCCATAAGATAAAATGGATCCTTAATATAATCATCAGATTCATTCTCATCATCTGGGCTGAGCCTAGCTCGTTTAGTAGGCGAATTTGAAACAGAAGAACTTTCTTCTTTAATATTTACAATTTTACTTTCTCTTTTTATTGGTTTGTTATAAATTTCATCTTTAATGGTGGCGTGAAAAAGTGAAAATGGATTAAGCCACCTTTCATGATGACTTTTTAAAACCGTACCAGAAGTTTTTTCACAAACATAACCCATACGACTTGCTACTTTTCCCCATTTTTTTGCCAAACATACTTCATCAAAACCGCCTTCAAATTCTACAATTTTATAAAGAGAATATAAATCTACAGCTCTTTGTTCTAATACTGGTATTTTAATACGAATCCCTTGTAAATGCCAATACTTGGCAATTTTTTCCAAGAAATTGAGTTTAACTCTAGTACTTGCATCGAGTTCATTTAGTTTTTGAATCCTTGGTGTAAATTTAAAGTTATCAACATCCACACAAAATGGAGGATGCCAATTAGATGGAGGTCTAATTTTACAAATTCCATGTTCTTGAGCTTCACTTCTAATTTTAGCAATATACTTCAATGGATCTTTAAATTCTTCAGCAGTAGGCTTATAAACTGGAGCTTCTGGTGGAACCTTGAATACGAATTTGCCCTTTTCCATAAGACTGACAGGATCAATAAATTTTCCTTCAGGACATTCTTTTTGTTTTGGTTCATCAATTTCAAGTTTACACTTTACATCTCTTTTTACACTCATTTTAATATAACACTATAGTATATACCTAGATAAGATATACGAATATATATGAAAACAATAGTTGTTATTACTTACTTAAACAAAGATAAAAACACTCTCAATAAAATTCTATAATAACTTAACTTGATTGAAAAAAGTATCGAATCTATAACATAATTATTGAACATTAGAAATTGAAAATGTGCGTTGCATTGTCAAGAGCCAAGGATTGTGTTTTGAAAGATGGACGTCCATCCCACATTTCTAAAATGTCACGTAGTCCACACTCTACACCAATACTACCACCAACGCTATCACGGGTGATCCGTTTAATAATTTTCAAAAAGGAAACAACAAATATCTTCGATGCACCTCTTCTGATCTGTCGTCGTTGCTATGCTGCGCCAATTGCAAACAGGACAGAAACGTATTGAGTAACAATTTTGTAGGTATACGAGAGGAAACAACAATTGAAAACTAATTTTAAAGCCTTTTGTTTGAAAGTAGCAATTTCACTATGGAAGATAGAATGCAGCCAACATACACATTGCACACATTGCACACACAAATACAAAATTACAAACAGACACACACACAAACACACACGAGACTTCGACACAGACACGAAAGTGATGAGGTTCGCCGTTCGCAGTATAGAAAATAATACATTACATAGCAGGCTGCACCACTACCAACTACGGGATATACGCACGCACGCACTCGCAATAAAATCGACACAATTATAATACCGTACTACCTTATGGAACGCGTATCCGGACAGACGATGCGATAGACCTAAATTAATAAATATTAATAATAAACACTAAATATAGGTACCCCCGACGCTGTTCAATCACTTCGATCTACGATGTTTTTCAATGTATGTTCCGGTCAATCCAGTATTCCAGTCTCCATAGTATTCCAATCTCCTCTGCCGGTCGATCTATGTCCGTTGTTGGGGCCATTTTTTTCGTTAATCGTTGGACAAAAATTTAAAAAAACGTGCCTACGAATATGGCGATCGTGCGAGTGTAAACGATTAATGATATTGAGCGTGTGTCGTCACCCGGTAAACACGTTTACGAATCGCGAGCAACATCTAACCTAACTATATAGATACGAACGACCGTACCATAGATACATGGACATCAATATAATACATAAATGAATAATAAATCATTTTTGTGCATGAAATGAGACATGGATGGATATCCGATTTGTCGCTAACTACTTTCGTATTTGATCGTTTCACCGTTTCGGGCTCAAATTTGCAATGAGAGTTAGCCAATCTATTACCTACGAATTGGCTACGATACCTTATAATTGTATGAACTTCTGAACTTTACCTTATTTATATTTGTTTTCGGTCGACTACAGTTCACCAGTGATTTTTTATACGTATCACCAACAATGTAGAGAAGATACTTTCTCTTACTAAGTTATGTGTATCATTAATTATTACTTAACTAAACAGTCCAACGACTACTCGCAAGTCGCAACTCTCAAATACAATATTATACAAGACAAATAAAGAATAAATCTATAATTTAACACACCATCGATCAACGGTACAAAAATTACATGGTAAATCAGTAATTATAAAATCATAAATGTTTGGTGTTCATGTTCCTAAAATTGCGGTTATTAATACACCAAAACCAGAAATGCCATTAATACTAACGAATTCCCACTAAAATTTTAAAATAGAACTAGTATTTTGTCTAATATAATTACAGCAAATTATTGTAAAAAGATATGAAATTCCCATGAAATATTACGGTCGACAATGTTTAACAGCAACCGTAAAATAATCCCTATCAATAAATGGTAGGGTATAAAATATTTCATTCGAGAATATAATATAAATAAAAAATAGCAAGTGTATTAGAAACAAACATAATTATAACTTAGAAAAAAAAAAATATATTTCGCAATACGATACATACATGAAATATAAATAGTGATTGTTATCAATAAAACTTTCCGAAGTCAAAGTAATCAAAAACGTGTTAAATGATTCTGAACCATGTACAATTCAATAAAACACAATATGAAAGGTAGTATATTAATTTTAATGAATACAATTAAGTATTAAATAACAAACTACTATATAACATAGTTAACTTTATCAAAAATACAAAATGTATAACGTATAGCTATTAGATATTAAAAATGATGCTAATACAATAACTTTTCTATATTATTATTATTTTTAATTAGTTTAAAATTATAATTATATATTTATTTTTTACTAAGCAACTATAGATTTAAATAAATGAAGACGAAAGTAATATGTAGTAAAATAATTGTTGAATTCACATTGATAATATTATGTATTTTTTTTCAATATTATATGATTAATATCTACTTGTAGCACTAAATTGTAACACCAAATTAATTCTTAAGTACCTGAAGAATTAGAAATCTTCCAAGTATTTACTACCCAATATCTATTAAATAATTGTAATGCATAGTAAGTTGTTGATGTTGATATTTATTTTCTATTTTATTATTCATTATTTAATACCTTAAAATCTTCTCGTCTTCAATAGTTCAGTCTGACATCTCGTTACTTATTACATAATCTGTGGATTGTGATAATAGATAACGTGTGGAACAGCTGTTTTTATTAAAACCGTGCATCACCAAAACGTATTCAGACAACAACAAAAAATATATTTAAAATACTCATGTTATGTTAGTTGAAATATCTTTAAAAAAAATTAATAATCTAAATTCTTGAAAATTTAAGTAGTTTTCTTTATTTTTAACTGTTTAAAATTAAATTATGAAATATTGAGTTTTTACCGTACTCGTTTAGTCGTTTGTCCAATTTTGAATAACCTGAAAATTATCAGTAGCCATCTTGAACAAAGCGTTTACACACAAACACAAACAGTGGTAGTGGTGAAATTTGTATGATAAAAATTGTAATTTTTTTATTAATTTTTTAGTCCAAAATTGTGACAAATTTTTATATTGTATCTAGTTTAAATAATGTTATGTTGATATTCGTATTTGAAATGTTTTCTTAGTGATGGCTGCTTCTAGAAAACTTCAAGGTAAATATCATTACCTCACATTCTATTGTTGTTCACTTTTTTGCTCAAAAACTGTTGTTAAGAACACTGGGTATTACCTTTGAACAATAATTTAGTTTGGAGGATCTTATTTGTGAAGAATTTATAAAATAATTGTTACCTCAAATACAATTATTATAGTTTATAGTGTTAACTATTAGTTTGATATACATGAACGATTGTCAAATAATTTTACACATTTCAAATAGATAATTTAATTATTTTGTATCAACCACAATAATGAAACAGTAAATTATAACTATGGTTATTCATTTTATATTAACAAACCACTTTTTTCTTTTTAAAGTGATATTACTTGAGAGCAATAATCCAATAACTCGTCTATAATTTTTAGGTGAAATTGATCGGTGCCTTAAGAAAGTTACCGAAGGTGTTGAAACATTTGAGGATATTTGGCAAAAAGTTCACAATGCTACAAATAGTAATCAAAAAGAAAAATATGAGGCTGACCTCAAAAAGGAAATCAAGAAATTGCAAAGGTTACGCGATCAAATCAAAAGCTGGATTGCGTCCGCAGAAATTAAGGATAAAAGTGCATTACTTGATTACCGCAAACTTATAGAAACTGTTAGTACATTTAGACACATAATTTAGTTTGTTCAAATGTTAAGCTATGTTTATTCTTATTTGTAGCAAATGGAAAGGTTTAAAGTAGTCGAACGAGAAACAAAGACTAAAGCTTATTCTAAAGAAGGGTTGGGTGCTGCCCAAAAACTAGATCCCGCTCAAAAAGAAAGAGAAGAAATAAGTGCATGGTTAACACAATCAATTGAGTCGCTCAATATTCAAGTAATTAATTATTTTGGTTTAACGAAATTAGTGCTTTTTGAATCTCTTTATTATTTCAAAGATATATTTGCATTGTATACCTAAGATTTTAATAACCTTTATTATTGACATTTTCTCCTTACTAATATGATATGGTTTCAATTTTTCTATTTAATTAATAGTTTTGAATTCATATATTTTAATATTTTTTTTTATTGTATTTAATATTTACTTTAAAAATGTTGAATGATAGATTGACCAATATGAATGTGAAATGGAGTCATTACTTGTTGGGAAGAAAAAAAGGTTGGACAAAGATAAACAAGAAAAACTAGATGAACTAAAAGCAAGAGTAGAACGACATAGGTTCCATATACGAAAATTAGAGACTGTGCTAAGAATGTTAGATAATATGTCAGTGGAAGTCAAAAAGGTATCATACAAAACTATTGATTATATAATTCTACAAACAAATTATTTAATGAGTTAATTTTTAGATTCGTTCGATAAAAGATGATGTGGAATATTATATTGAAGCATCACATGAAGAAGATTTTATGCATAATGATGATTTGTATGATGAAATAATTGGGTTAGCTGAACTCGAATTAGGGGTTGCTGCAAATAATTCCGCAGAAGCCAATGGTAACAAATATAGTGATTGTAATAATATATTATTAAGCTCAGATTTAGAAAGAAAATTGTTTGTTTCAACCTTAATGTTTAATCTACACATATAGAATATGTTTATGTATTATTAAACTGCACTTTAGGATCACCCACTAGCCAAACTGCAAGTCTTAGTGGTTCTTGTCCAGCATCTCCTGCTCCAATGTCACACAATCATTCCATTGAAGAGCCTGTTTCAGTGGCTGTAATAACAACTTCAACACCAGTATCAATAACAACTATCGCTACAATTAGTGAATCAATTCCAATGATCTCTACCGTATCTACAGTTGTAACTATTGCTACTTCATCTTCTATTGTTGCAGCACCAGTTCGTAAAAAAAAAGAAGAAACTACTAAAGTTTGTACACACTATAATATTCATATTAGAAAAGAATAATTTACCATCAATTTAAAATGTATATTCAATTTAGAATACAATTAAACCGACGCCTGTGAAAGCAAATCCCTCAAATAATACTAATCCTACAGTGAACAGTAAAGGCCCAACTATAGCTGCAGTTGTTAAATCATCTGTTAGTAATAATCATACCACCACAACGTCAAGTGTGTCTACTGTGTCTCAATCTATAACTACTCAAACAAGTACTACTACCGTTGGTAATTTTGCAACTGTAGCAGCTTCAAATATTCACAATAAGCATTCACGTAAGTCTTAATTAAATATAAATATAAATTGCACAATTAATAAATTTAATTATTATGAAAACTTATTTTCTTAAATATCAAGTTTTCAATTTACTTTTAAAATATTATTGAATAACAGTATTTTGTCAAGTTAGACTTTATCACAATAGTATACTGATACCCAGATTCTCAGTTTTTTTCTTTTACCGATTAAATAATGATTTTACTTCATTATAAGTTTATATAATATATTTAAATATTTCATTGAATCAATTATATTTATAAATTATTAAAATGCTTATTTCAGACAACAAATAAAATATCTGTGCAATCCTCAGTATTAAATTGAACTATTCCTCTCAATTATTTGTATTTACTATTATTATATTAGTATTTTTTAATGATATATTTGGAATATTGTTTGATTTTTGAACTGTTATTTACATAGAAGCGCAATCTGCTGAAAATACATCTGTTGTTACATCTATACCAACTTCTCCATCATCTTATACTAATGTGCCAACTGCACAAGGAAATGTGAATAATTCTGATAGTGTGGTTAATTGTGTGTCTGATACACCTTCGTCATTAAGTTCTACGACGTCACCAGTACAAGTGGATTCTAACACAGCCTTGTCATCACTAAAGACTATTGCACAAAAAGCTATTGATCAAGCTGGGATTGATATATCACAACAGTCTACTGATAATAAAAGTAATTATAAAATTGTATTTTTTAAATTATTATTTAAAGTAGATATTTAATAATTTAAATTATTATCGGGTTATCATGAATCAGTATGCGCTCTTCTGATACTTTTACAATTAAATGATACTATAAATATTTACTTATTTGTATGCATACATTATAAAAATAATAATATTATAAAATTGTATTATTTAACTATCTCCAGTGAATCTCATTGTAAGAACCTTTTATTTTAGTGCGCTAATTATTTGGTACTCTTAATTGCATGTCTGGGTTTTAGTGTATGTCAAAAAAAGAAGTTGAATTTGCGTATCTATGGCAGATTGGATAAGGCACCCAGTGTATTTTAATATAATTGTATCTCGTATAGAGTACAATTCAGTTAGGTGTATTTTGTATCTAAGAGTCAAATCAGATTGGTGGGGAAGGGGTAATTCACCCGTTGTATTTTGGATACAATGTTTTAGTGAATAGCTGGGATTTTTTTTGTAAGACCAAAAACATTTATTATTTTAAAAGCTTAAACATGTAAAAAGTTAACTATGTAATTTATTCTATAATTAAGTCAACACAGTATTTGTCACCATTGTTCAAAGATAAACCTAAAATTTGTTCTTCATCGTTTTCATAATAACTTTTTCTTCAAAACAAGAAACATGAGCAATTTTCTAAATTTGTCTATGACATATTCAAAGATTAAAATAAGTTGCTCTAGCCAATCTGCAACATCCTCTTTGTAGGTTTCCGACTATTATAATTACCTTAACTAAGATTGTTAAGGTATTTATTTTATATTTATTACATATATGTAAATAGTGTTAACATCTTAAATTATCACTCTTGTATACCTAAAAGAACTGTATTATATTGTAATCTAAATTTATATTTTTTATTTTGAAGGTTTGAGTACAAATATAGTTCAAAATTCAAGTAGTCATCTAAGTTTACAGCAACAACCTACACAACAGCCACCTGCTTTGTTTGAAGCTAATATTTCCCCTTTATTAGGAGTAGCTCCACTGGGTCCAGTGCCACTTTCTAAGGACCATCAATTTCAATTCACTATGCTTGAATCTGCATTTGTACATTTACCTCATCCATCAGATTCCGAACGAATAAAATTATATTTACCTCGAAATCCGTGTTCAACGCCTCATTATTATAATCAAGTAATTTACTGATTAAAAAATTCCTATAATAATTATTTACGTTTATTTATTTATATATTTTATGTTTTTAGGGACCTCTTCCCCATTCTGATAGCTTAGAATTTTTCCAGAGGCTTTCAACAGAATCCCTTTTTTTTATATTCTATTACATGGAAGGATCTAAAGCACAGTATTTGGCTGCCAAGGCGTTAAAAAAACAAAGTTGGAGATTCCATACAAAATATATGATGTGGTTTCAGCGACACGAAGAACCTAAATTAATTAATGAAGAATATGAACAGGTTTGATAATAAATAAAATTAATTAGGTATATGTTTTTATTTTGTATTTACAAATTATTATTTAACTAGGGCACATACATTTATTTTGACTATGAGAAATGGGGTCAACGAAAAAAAGAAGGATTCACGTTCGAGTATAAATATCTGGAAGATAGAGAATTAAATTGAAAATAATGCGTTTTCACATAGTCCTACACTAAAAAAAATTCTTAGAATATAGTCCATGAATACAAAAGGATTATTTGTGCCCCTACAACATGTGATATGATGTGAACATTTGGAGAAAAGGAATTTGGAGTATACTATTTTTATTTTTTAATTTTGAAAAAAAAAAACTTAACATAGTCTTTGTTTATATGTATGTACATACTAACCAAATGTTGTACATATTAACAGACTGCTTTAATATTTTTTCTAAATTATTTATTCTCTAACCAAAAAGTACTAAAAGCTTATGTCCCATGTGCATTATTCTTTGAAACTGACTTATTTTCTCTTTTTTCAATAGTTTTGTTTTTGTTTGAAGCATTAAACTCGTTCAAATAGAATTATTATTAGCAATATAGTTAAATTTCTCATAGTTTAATATAAATTTTTTCTGTATTGTACTTTTTGTACCTCAGATTTTTTGTCAAATTTGTTATTAAATCTGTGATACCAAAAGTTAATTTTATTTGGTGTCATTCAAAAATTATATAAATTATTTTTTTCAAATGTATAATTGTCCATTCCCTATCTTGAAATTAGTTTTTTCCTTGATTATAAAAGTATGTACATACAAATCTAATTAATAGCACTTTAATCAGGTATATACATTTTTTAATTGAATAAATATAAATAAAATAAAACAATATATTTTTTTAATAAGAAATTGTATGAATTTATATGAGATCAACAGTTTTTATTAAGTTTTAAAATGTATTTGTATATTAGATAATTTTTGAATGACCCTTTTTTGTAAGCTAAATTTTCTCATTTCCTTATGTTAAAAGAATGTAAAACTTACATTATTGGTTGAAATTAATATTTTTCTCAAATTAAATTAAATAACTATAGAGCAAGTTACACAAATTAAAATCTCCTACCTTGTACTTAATTCATTACTCACTTTAGAACAAAAATGTTAGCTACTATTTTTTTATACTATTATGTATAACATTCAATAATTCTCACTTGTAAACAAAATGAGCGATTTAAAATTTGTATTATAAGAGTCTTTCAAAAAATATAATTTATTCATATTTCATCGATATAATTAAGTTTTTTTATAATTATTTTTTTTTTTGTACAATTTTTTAATCCATTGGTTAGGCACAATATCTTTCAATTGTTGATTATATATTCTGAAATGTTTAAATAATTTTTGACCGACTCTTATGGCCTTATATTAAAACCCAAACAACCTCAAATTAATAATTAATTATTATTATAGACCAGGAAAGTATTATGTTTAAGTTACTTTTCCTTTTGTGATTTATGTTAGGGACAAAATGATCAATGTTTTTTTTTATTATTATTGTTGGCTGTTAGGTATTACACTCTGATTGTGTTTAATGCATGAAAAAACAGTTTTGATGTTTTGTTCCTACAACATCGTCTTAAAGCCAAACAAATGATTGATAGATGTACAAACAGTAAGCTATTTAATAAAAAAAAACCAATTTTAATAAAACTGTTTGATATTATTATTATTATTTTTTTTTTTTGATCTCTTAATTTGACTAAGGTTAAGTTAATAATGAGTACAAAATTTGCAATTGTCTTATTTTGTTCATTAAGTAATATTCATCATCACAATTACTAGTATTGAGATATCTTAATTTATTTTTATAATAATATGTCAATAAAAATTGTTTATTATATGATTGTTTATTTCAACGGTCATCATTACAATTATCCATTTATTTGGTGCTAGATAAATTATTATGTAAAATCTCGAGTTTAAATTAAACAAGAAATATTTCTTAACTGTTTTTTTTTTAGAATTTTCATACATAACAATAATACCCATTTGAGGGTTGGCACTTGGTATGTTGTGCTTTGGTACTCCTAATTTTGTCTTATTCACTACTGTCGAATATAAGACTTACAATTCCTCCTATAAAATCATTGACGGGTTTATGGATACAGTATGTTAGTGTTATATAGAGCTATGTTTACTAAATAGTAAAATATGGTCACATTGATATGGATCATTAAAAATCTGGCCTTCATACATTTATAAAACCAAGATTATAAGCCACCATCCTTGTAAGTTGTAGTCAGGCCTGGTTTTACGTATAAGCAAAGTAGACATTCACCTAAAGACTATTTTTTTAGTTGTACGTCATACTCTTTGTAGTATTTGAAATTTAAAATGTTTTTAATGATAGTATTTGTATTATTATATTAATGGACAATAGTATACAAGATGGATCAATCTTGATAGTGTCATAAAAATAGAAATTAAAATAGCTTATCAATTTTATAAATCTAATGATATAATTAGTTAATACCTAATAATTATGAAAAAAGAAGACAACATGTTAATATTGTTTGAAAATTCAACAGCCCTTTCAGTATTAACATATCTCAAAAGGAAAGAGCTGGATGGTGTTTTTCCAAAGGTTTTAAGAAGTACCTACTAGTTTCAAAATGTTCCAGAAAACATTCATTCTCAGTTTTAAAAGTTTAAAACTACATGTAATACACTATGTGAGAGGAAACATTAAATGCTTTAGCATTATTGAAGATTAGAAATAAATTATTAAATACCATTGATTTTTAGGATATAACAATGACTCTAGCTCACAAAAAAGTAGAAAAAAAAAATTTAAATTTAAATAATTTTTGTACTGAACTAATAAAAGATATACCTAATAACGTCTTAAGATTGTTTTTATTTATATGTACTAATCATTTTGAATTCAGTCAATAGTTTTTTAACGTGGAGACTCGGAGGTTGATATACAGTGTGTCTCTTAAGTCCCGTATCATTCTTAATGTGTCCATATATTCTGTGGTATATCCGTGGGAAATTAATATATTTAAATTCATTTTTTTTGTCAAAAATTACCAATCCTTTTTTTAAGGCAATTCAGTTTTTTTAAACTTCCTAGATACCCGTTTGTTGATCATATTTTTTAAATCAATTAAACAAAAAAATATTAAAATTTAATGAAAATCAACCAAGTTAGAGCTAGTTATTATTTTGAATTTCTAAGAATAGTAGTTATGTAATATTTAATTTCTGATCAAAGCATGTGAATCGTTCTGGCTGTACATCATAGCTATATAGTATTGTATATAGTGTTGTTATAGTATAAAATGGTACTAACCACTGAAATTGATGTATTATTTAGATTTTAATTCAATGATATTAAATCATTATGAACCAAACACGATTCTGAGAGATTACAATCAGCCAGCTGCTAATATCATACCCATTTAGTAGGTATATTATATTATATTATTTTATGATATTTGCTATTAAAGAAATTTATTTTACTATTAGTAATACAGTAGGTTGAATTATTAATTTTTCCGAAAAATTGAAAATGCCATTGTGTATAAAATATAATATTAATAATATACTTTAAAATATAGGTATCATAAGAGTATTGATGAACACTTTTTAAATTGAAACAACAAAAATCGTTATTCTTTGCAATGTACCAAATACTGCACAAAATTGAACTTAAAATATGTATTAAAAAAAACTACAAATACATATTTTGGTTACAGTATAAACTACTTAACTATTTATGAGAAACCTTGTTTTAAATTTTCAAACCTTAGTTATAAATGAACAATTTTAAATGTTTATAAATAGCTCAAATCCTCAAAACGTGGCAAAATAATTTTTAATGGCATGTATAGAAAATGATAAAATAAATTTGTTAAATTTATGAATAAATATCCAATGTCAAAAAAATTTGTAATTCAAACACTAATAAAAAATTAATTTGACTTTCTAATTTTTATCTAATTCCACATTTCCACTAACAGTCTTGGGATAAATCCATTAGACTATCTAATCAATATTTAAAAAATATAAAAGGTATTTTGGAAATACATATTACATACAATAATTTTACTGCAAATATAAAATTATTAATTAACAATACAAGTTCACAAAAATATTTGTATTTAAAATAAATTTTCAGATTTTCATAAAAACTGTAAAGTATACATATATATCATGCTTTAAAAAATTATGTTGTCAAATTAAAATAATAATTAATATTTTAAAAATGTAGTAGCCTTGGGTTTGGCAAAGCTGCCAATGCTTTATGAGCTTTGCTGCTTTTACCGATTCCGAGTTTAGGTAATCCTCGATTTAATCCTTCTAACAACATACAAGCTTTACAAATATCTTGACTTGACACAAATCCACATTTAGTACAAACACCGATATCTGGCAATTTTACATTCTCTTTAATACACATTGTCTCGCCTAAAACATTTTAAAAATAGTTTTAAACTATAGAATGAAAAAAACACAATTGTTTTATACCAGAATGTATTATATCCATAATAGATGATGGTTTTAATCTTTCTAAATCTTTTAAAAATGTTCTTGCATATCCTCGGTATGCATTTGGCGCGAATACGCATTCAGTTGAAAAGTAATTCAATTTCTTGAAATATGCATACATCACTATTTCTTTTTCATAAGTGTATTTTAAAGGTTTACACCGAGGGATAGTGCCTTCTGTAATCTAATAATATTAGTATGTAAGAATAAGATTAATTCCCTTTTACAATAATCATTTATATTAATTTTGTTAAAATAAAGACTAAATACAATAAAATAATCTAGTATAACAATATTTTATATTTTAAACATGATGATTAAATAATATGGAACGTTTTTAACCTGAGAAAAAATATTACAAAGAGGCATGTTATTTAATATTGTACTAACAATAATTTAAATTAATTTATATATTTAGATTTTAGGTCACCTGCTGGCTAACTCAAGTATCTTAACTTTTGTAATACTTACAGTAATGATATTTACACATCTTTGCAATCTTGCAACATCCCCTCGTAGAATGTTCATCAACACAGTCTCTGCAATATCATCAGCATTGTGACCAGTAGCAATACAGTCAACATTTAATAACATTGCACCTCTATCTAAAGCTTGTCTTCTGAATACACCACAAAATGTACAATTATTCTTACGACCAACTTCAGCAACTATTTTGTCCATTGACCAACCATATAACTGTTGGTATGATAAGATCTTTAAAGGCATTTGATATTCATCTTTATTTTCTAGTACTGTTTTCAAACTATCATCCCTATAACCTATTAAAATGGTATACAATTTGTAATACAAATAAATAATTTTTGATTCTCAACTCTTCGAAATTCAATATACAATACATTATTTAAAATACAATATTTTTTAACTTAAGAAGTATTAGTCTAAATTATAATTCACTAACTCATACAAATTAAAATGGTTTTTTTTTCTGAGCACTTCATTGTTAAAATTGCTTTAGAAATTCAGTAATTAAGTATAATAACAGTTTAAACAAGAAACCAAGAAATAAAATGATACAACTATTCTTATATCATTCTTATTTAAATATTTAACAATAAATTTTAGTTTAAACATTGGATTTAATAGTAAAAAAAAATTAAAGAGAAAATAATTAACATATACCTATTATTACATTAAAAAATGCCAAGTATATAGTAATAATATAAATATTAAAAATGTGTTTAGTTTTATTAAATAATCACAATATTACCAGTAATTCCTTCATCTATGGACAATAATACTAATTTCAGTTCATAATTATAGCGTTCATTTAATGTCTTGAGAACTTGTGCTAGTACAGTTGAGTCTTTTCCACCTGAAGCTGCAATTGCAACAACATCACCTTTTTTGAATAGTTTACCATTTGTGATGGTGCTATGAATTTCAAGTTCAAAAGCCCAATAAAAACATTCTTTGCATAATGTATCTCCAGTTTTTGGGCGCTGAAATAAAAAATTATATTTGTATAGTCTCATAATAATAATTTTGTATAGAATTAAGTTTTAATAATAAATAAAATAAAAAATCAGTCATACTTATTTATTATTGCAGATTAAATTTATATAATATTATTATTAATCATTAATTTTACCTTAAGCACTGCATTCTGACCACATTTTGCAGAGCATAAGACAGGCATTTTAACTTATTCTATAGAATGGACGCTGTGAATAATTATTGCTCTGTGGAATGAAGAATATAGAAATATCTTAATTTGTGTTGTGATCAGAAGGATCATCATTATTCATTAGTACCATGCCTTAAATATTTAAACGATGATTATACTCAATTATAGGTAGTACTATATTCTCTTGTTAAATCACCTTAAATCGTGATCATAGTTATCTATTTTAGATAACCGTGATGGCCGATGGGGATCATAACCACGATTAAAGAAATACATTTTGCACATCGACTACTGATAAGGTGAAATACGAAATGACTACCAATAATTAACCAGTGACGCTCCAAGCGGCAGTATTACCATTAACCGCTTATAGATATATAGGTGTAAAATTAGTTCTAAATGTCGACACATATTGTTGAGTCACACATATTGTTCTGTGTTATTATTTTAGTTATTAGTTATTAGCGTGGTTACTGGTTATTACTTCAGTTATTTAGACAGTCTGTAATTAAAAATATATTTACAAGAACACTTCCACCTTCCACAGTCTTAATCAAGTATAAGTATAAGTGCATGCTTATTTAATAATTTTTGGGGCTTGAACTTACAAGCCCTGCTTATATGACTCAATATAAATATCAATATTTAATTTAAGTTAGGTACAATTTAAAATTATAATAAAACTTGTGCCCAATAAGCCTATTCTACATGCTTAACTATACAGAAATATTCCTTTTGACACTGTCTTTATTTTTGTAGAATTGTATCATACCATAAAACTTATATATTAAACTCAGTAGGTACCTATAATACGGTCTATTGATAAATCGTATGTTCATTTACAGAAATCTTTGTGATCTGCAATGTACTTATTCTTGTTTTCTATTTCTGTTATAGTGTATGCATGCCAAATTTAACTACACAGATTGCAGGTGCGCAAGTTTATGGACATTCTAATACATTCTCCCGCCAGTGCCCCTAGACACAGTGTTTGAGAAGTTATATTTTTTTTGGTACCTAATTAAATTATAATATGAATTATTAAAGGTGACCTATATATCTACTTGTAAAAAACTTGACTACCGGGATTTAAATAACAAAATGTGATTTAGATAACCTATTGGCTATTGATCTATTATAAAATAGAAACTTAACCTACCAATAATATCACTATATAAAATAATTAAAAGTGATAATTTGAAAACGATTTCTTAAAACCCTAAAATATTTTTTTTAATTTAGTGTCTTATCCATATAGTTTAGCGCCCAAACATTAATGATGTAAAAATTATTTCCCGGAAGTCGTTAGTTTTTATGTCATAGTTTTTGTAATACCGTGACGGAGTGTTGTCCGAAAATTAGATTTCTTCGATCAATGAATCTAATCGATCTATTTTTAGGGGCGTAGATGACGTTACAACTGGAGGCGAAAAAAGGGTTTCAATTTGCCGCTCTTCGTAGTCATTCACTTAGATCAGGAAGAAGAAAATAATGTTAATATTAATAGACTCGCTAGCAAAATCTGACCTTATTAGCTATAAGTTTTAGAACTAATATTTACTTTTGAAATTATATATACTAATAAATTGCGCACGCCAACATTTTTAGAAAAATTAAATAGTAAGTATGTAGTCACATGTAAGCCATGGCTGTGTTCGAATAAATGGAATGGACAGACAAAGAAATAATATTATGTCGATCTTCAATGACTATGTAATGATTTTACAGCTAACAACGTCTTAGCTCTCACCAACTTAGCCACACCCCGTTGTCTGCATATCAAGTCTAATAAACTTGTCAATTCGAAAGCGATCGTTAATATTTATTATTGGCTGAATCCAATTACACGGTCTACATTTTATACCGGCAACTATTTATAGTTGCCTGTAGCGTAAATGGAATCTTTTTCCCATTTGAACTAAAGACAAGACACCGTGAGATCTGCTTTTGCATTACCTACACGGTTTTAGATATAACTCTAACGGATTCCTAGGGTTGTATATAAACACTAAACCACGTATATTGTTTAATAATGGTACACAAAAACAATGAACTGTGTTGTAGCTGAATTGCGTATCCAAAGCGCCGTGTTATCATAAATTTGTATTTAAAAAAATGTTGTAAAACTATTAATATAATATTATGATTTATGATTTCCCGGAAAATGATCCTAATGGAAAAACTAAATAACAGTAACGTCTTAACCGTGCTGCGTGTGCTGAGTGTTTTTGCTATTTTAGAAAACTAAAAAAAGTTTTAGAAAAAATTATACAATTGAGAGACATTAAAGAGCTCAAACTAAAATTTCCAGGATTTTAAACAGAAAAAACTATTCAAAATAAATAGCTCATAAAAGAAAAACTAAACATAGGGAACCTGTGGGATATCAATGATCAAGTCTTTATAAAAAATTCAACAAGAGTTAAATTCATAAGAAAAAATTGAAGGGGAGTGTTGGCGCCCGCAGTCGAATGCATTGTAAAAAAACAAAAAAAATTTAGAAAAAACCATACAATAAGAATACATATTGAAGGGCTTAAACTACAATCTTCAGATTCATAAACAGAAAAAACAGTTTATAATGATTAACTAGCTCGATATAGAATGATAATGCAGAGGGCACCTGCAGGTTGTCAATAATCAAGTATGTGCAAAAAATTCAACTAGACTCAAATTCCTAAAAAAAAAAATTGAAGGGGAGTATTGGCGCCCGAAGGCAAATACATTTTAGAAAACCAAAAATTTGGATTAATATAACCAACTGATACAAAATCTTATCCTAACATCATAACCGTACTAAAATCTGATGAATGAAAAAAAAAACAAATTTAACCCTTTGTAAATTAACCTATATATTCTTCCCAGAGGTCTAATCTACCCGCAAACATTAATTTATATACCTATCTTACTAAATAAATACACAGACTAAACTCTGAAACTACTTATCAGATATTATTGTATATATTATATTTATGTATAAAAAATAATAATACAAATTACAAATCAACAATCAAGCCCGATTAACCGATAGCAAGTAGCAACCAATATAATATTATACACAGGTAGATTTTCCTAAAATGTTCATTCATATAAACCTTCTCCATGAAATACTCTTTCGTTTTAAAAAAAAATCAAGAAGATCTAATAAGTAGTTAAAGAGTTAAGTCTGTACAGAGATTTTCATTTAAATCTAAAAATCTTAAATCTTAAATAATTATTCATTTTAATCTACAAATTCATTAAGATCATTAGATATACACACGAAATGTAAGACCTGGATAAAGTTGACTAATGCATTCAAGTTCGACGTGACCAGCATAGTACTCGCCATCTATGCTCATCAAATGTTTAAAATAAGTGTAAACATAGGTGCGTATATAATGTATTTAAAATATAAATGTTAATAATTGTTTTAAATACCTACAACAGTACAACCTAAGGTGTTCCAAGGTGTATAGTGCATTGTATAATAGTTATGCACAAAAGGTAGGTACCCATACGGCCATACGTATCAAACTTAGAGCGGTATGTACTGTCCGGGCTCACGTATTTTATACATTGCGTATTAAAAGTGATAATTTGAAGACAATTTCTTAAAACCACTAAAATATTATTTTAATTATGTGTTATAATTCATATAGTGTAGAGCCAACGCAAATTTTTCAATTTTTATTTTCGGAAACATAGTTAAATCAACTTTTTAGAATGATTGAGCAAAAATAATTCTGACACCCACCCATGGTGGTTTTACATAACAAGTCGATGGATGTTTTTGATGATAATTGACTGAGCGATCGCAGCCAGGTACGTCCGGTATATATGAAAATACCCAAAATTTAAATTACCTATAACTTTCAAATAAGTCTGACCACCAAATTCAGACTTCAATGTAATTTTCAATTAAAAACTAATGATTTCCGGCAATTAATTTTTGCAATATCGTTCTTAATTCGTTGTAACTTATACTATCGCGATGGAGTGTTGTCCGGCGATTTAATTTATTGGTTAAAACCGGTTTCTTTTTAGGCGTAAATGACGTTATCACTGGAAGTAAAAAGAGTGTTTCAATTTGACGTTCTTCGTGGTAATTCACTTTGATCGGGACCAAGAAGATAATGTGAAAATTCATAGACGCGCCAGCAAAATCTGACTTTGTTAGTATTTAGGTTTTAGAACTAAAATTTACTTTTGAAATTAAATATACTAATAAATTGTGCACGACAACATTTTTAGAAAAATTAAATAGTAAGTATGAAATATTATTTTATCGATCTTTAATGACTATGTAATGATTTTACAGCTAACAACAACTTCTTAGGTCTCGCAAACTTAACCTCACTCCGATAATCGGTCGCTCAACTGTAGTGGATAAGCCGAAATCTACCCCACCTCGCTGTCTGCAGATCAAGACCTATAAATTTGTCAATTCGAAAGAGGTGTTTACTAAATATTATTTGTTATATAAAATAACACGGTCTACATTTTATACTGGCAACTATAGATGCCTCTACACAAAATGAATACTTTTTTTCCATTTTAAATCGACGACACGACTCCGTGGGATCCCCTTATGCATTAATTCCGCTGTTTTAGCTATAACTAAAACGGATTCCTAGAATTTCACACACCTACTAAACCACGTATCCTTATACGTGGTAAATATTACCCCCTATAGGGGTAAATAATATTTCAAAATAATAAAGATCTGATTATCGGATATGAACTCGTTCCAAGTATTTGACACCCTCACAAACAAAAATGAACTCTGTTGTAGCTGAATTGCCTATACAATGCGCCGTGTTAGCATAATTTTGTATTTCGTTTTTTTAAAATATATTAAAACTATATTATTATAATATTATAATTTATGATTTACAGGAAAAATGATCAAAATGGCAAAAATAAAGAACAGTAACGTCTTAACCGTGCTGAGTGTGCTGAGTCTAAATCAGGTAAACGAATTTTAGGAAAACAAGTGAAAGAGCTCAAATTAAAATGTCCAGAATCTTCAA